GGATTTTATAATAACAAGCTTCTTTCAGTTTGCTCAAACTCGTCACCAGTGAAAAATATAAAATTATTGCACAGCAATTAATTTGATTTTAAACAAGTAAGTAAAAAAATCTTATATACTATTATCAATCAACAACAAGACCTGTTTTTTTATAGCAAAGGATTAAAAACACTGAGAAAATTACAAGACCTGAAGCCTCATAGAAAGTGAAATTCCCAATATTTTGACAGCGTTTTTTGTATGTTATGTTGTTAATTCGAGGTTTGAATCGGATTTTATAATAATTAAGCTCTTTCAGTCTTGTTTGAGACTCGTCAACAACAATAAAATTATTGCACAACAATTATCATTTTAACCAAGTAAGTGAATATATTATATACCTACTGATATCGATACAATTATGGAATATTTTAGATATGGATTTGAAATCAATCAACAAGGCCTGTCTTTTTATAACAAAGGATCAAAAACGCTGAGAAAATTATAACTCCTGGTATAAAGTGAAAGTTCCCAATATTTTCTACGATACAGACCTCAAAATAATTGCAAATCTTTACTGGAACCAATAAACTATACAAATTAAGGTAGATCATAAAACTATTGCACAGAAATTATTATTTTAACCTAGTAAGTAAATATCCCTTATACTTAGGTAATCGATACAATTGATGTATATTTTTAGCTATGGATTTGAAATACTCGTTGAATTTGACGATAACGCAGTGTTGCTCCCAAGACGTACCACCAAAATGATTGGATCATATTAAGCAGTTTATTGATGGAAAATATTCGCTTTTTGAAATCGTTGTCTTAAAAAATGTATGTTTTTAATAAAAAAACGAGGCCCCTTTCCCATCAAACGTTGGTTCCAACCAAGGATAATACACACTACTACTACAGGATAGCCTATCCTCATAAGGCCTGTGTGGAACAAATCCACTCTCTCCCCAACGTTAAATCACCAGTTGTGACGTAAGCAGCATGTTATTTCTCGCCTTGACGTTGGTTGTTTAAACAGCTGATGACTTAGTTATGGCGTCGTAAATGGTAACACACGAGGTCAATGAGCAATACTGTAGGTGTGTATCATCCTTAAGTTCGAACACCGTCTACCAGGTACAACATGAAGCTAGCTGCTGGACCCTCATAGTTACGTCACCACCACAGCATCCTGTTATAAGACATATCAAACTTGACACATGTACTCTAAATGGCGCCACGGACGTGACCCAGGTCGCTATGACGTCATCACAGAACCCGAACCATGAATCAAACTTTGCACTATGTACTCTAAATGACTCCACGGACGTGACCCAGGTCGCTATGACGTCATCACAGAAGCCGGAACGACTCAAAACTCCCGCTATGACGTCATGACGTTTGACAGATGACGTTTGACAGGTGACGTTTGACAAATGACGTTTGACAGGTGGCGTTTGACAGGTGACGGTTGACAAGATGGCGGGAAAACGTTTCCCCCCACCCCTTTTTCTGGTACCCATAATAAAATCCGGGGGGCCCCTTTTTGGGGGGCGCAGCCCTGCGGGCCCCCTTTTTGGGGGGCGCAGCCCTGTTGGTCCCAACTACAGCATCCTGTATTACGAACTTCACACTATGTACGCTAGATGGCGCCATGACGTTTGACAAGATGGCGCCGACGATGCATCCACCTTCGTGTCAACGGCGGCGCATCCACCACGTGTCAAGAATGAAAGATTGAGGTTATGGTCGGATTTTTGTAGTCATACCCCTGTTGCTGTACTACTCAGGTACAAATGAAATCTCTATATGACAGACATCATGACATGAAGTTGACGATTGCGGCAGGAGCTAGGTGTTGTTTACAATACCTACTTATTTGTCACTAATCGCTATCGCTATCTTTTTTTTTTCTTAATGTTAAAAGGAGAAGAGTAAAGTCAAAGTCAAAAGTGGAAAGGATAGTAATAATTTTCGTTGCTGTGAGTGACGTCATACTGAAGAGTATCATATTAAAAAAGTTTTTAATTGATGTCTTGAAAACTGTTGGGTATTGAACATTAGCGCAATGAACACTTTTGTTAAGGAAGACTCCCTATATACAATATCAAAAATTCAGCAAAATTCCACATAGATCACTTTTCCATAAGAAATGTGCGGGGTCCTTTATCTTGCTGATTGTTACCAGCAAGTTTATCAGAAGATAAAGGGCCTTAAAGAAAGAAGTTGTTCGTAATAAAAAATTTCGAATTAAAAAAATCGAAATTTATGTTTTCGAAAAATTAACCTAAACCCTAGAGAACCTAATAGTCCGAAATTGCCAGACGCCTCTGTATTTTTACCTGAAGGAAAATAGTCAAGCAACAAATTTTCTCAAATTGTGGAAAGCTGTCAACTAGCAGACCTTTGAAAATAAACTAAAACTTAGGGTCCACAACTCGCGGATCTTTATAAAATATGCTAAAGTTCCTCGACTCGCGGACCTTTATCCACTTCCTTAAATTTAAATATATTTAACAATATTGGTTTTCAATAATATAGATTTAGGTTTAATTAGACTAATTATATAGGGTGTTTTAAATATGTGAGAGTGTTTTTTATAAAATCTAGTTTCTGGAAGATGATTTTCAAGAATTTTTCGTGTTGTTGTGTTTTCCACACAGGCCTTATGAGGATAGGCTAACCTGTAGTAGAAGTGTGTATCATCCAGAGATGTATCATAATTGTGATTCGGTCACGTTATTCAAGTGACAATTTTATTATCTGTCACACACAAGCGGCGCACGCAGCACAGGTAAACTGAGAAAGGTCCATTAGCCATAAATGGCACTCCGAACCACAGAGAGAAATTTGAACGATTCACCCCTTCTTTTAAAAAAAACTTAGCACGCTGCCAAGGAAGAGTGGTCGTTCTCAAGCAAGGTGAACGCAATTCAAATAATTGCAAGATGAAGCTAGCCGAAAAGGTGGCGCTAGCGACCGGAACGATTGGTATTATTCGGAAGGATATAGAGCTGGGCGAAAATCATTAAATAGAGATCGCCACCTGAATGGAAGTAGTACTTACATAAAAATCAGGTTGACTCCTAATTACTCCTAATTTACATACTTAAAATAATAATAAAATGACAAAGTAGCTTAATTGCTACAGTCTCATATTCAATATGATCCACTGTATAGCTCTCTAATTCTTGAATAGTTGGTCAACATAACTCTTTGTGAATGTCAAACAACCCTATATCATTATGGGTAATGAAAACTTTGCTTCTCAGTTGAAGTAAAATCTTTTGGTTCTTAAGTTTCCATTAAAGTTCACCTGAACCCGTCCCTCCTAAACTCTGACTATTGTTCTTCATACAGATAAGATTTTCTGCTTGGTGTGAATTGAATAATTTGATTTTAAACATTCAAAAGTGTAGTGTTATCTTATTCAGTAGATCTAGTTGTGTTCGATTATACACTTAATTCATTGGAGCTGGAGAAAAAAATCCTAGTTAAAGATCTTGGCATCTGGCTAGACAGCGTGTTTACCTTTTCAAAACAAATGGATATAATAACAAATAGAGCAATGACGTTACTGGGGTTTGTGTTTATACAATAGATGTTTATTGTTCTCTGGTTCGATCCGTAATAGAGTATAGAAGTACTGTGTGGCAACCATACTATACTGTACATAAGGAAAAACTAGAAAGAATGCACACACAGTTAAACTAAATATTTCTTATGAAAATATTGATTGTAAAGAAATTAGAAAATTGTTGAACTTATCATCTTTGGAGAGTAGGCGAAACTTTCTTCACATCTGTTTGTTGTATAAAATCTTAAACAATATTATAGAGACCCCTGAACTACTTGCAGATATTGGTCTGCACATATCTCCTATTAATTCTAGAAATAGTCTGCTTTTTTATATTGATTTTCCCCGAACAAACTACGGTCTAAACTCACTCATATCAAGACTGTAAATTGACTAATGATGTGATAAAAAAATGCCATAATATTAATATTTTCAATTAAGATTTAAAGTTAAAAACACCTACTGACATAATAGTTGTATTGTCAGACAGGATTTTGATCTGTTTTAAATCGTTTGTTCTTGTTTTTGTTTAATTTTGTAAATCTTGCCTTTTAATTCGTCATCTTTTTATCTTTTTTTATATCTTTTTATATTTTATAATTTATATTTTATGTCTTATGTGATGTTATGTGATTATACCTAAATGTTGTGTTGTGACTGAATGAGTGTATATTTTAAAACGATTATTTTGACTTTTGATTCTTTTCTTGTCTTTTTTTTATATTATATTTATAATGATACTTTTTTAGCTTGAAATTTATATTAATAACAACGTTGTAAATGCGTTGATAAAATTTTGAATTTGATTTTGAATTACAGTTTCCGTTATTTGGATATTTTTATCAAGTTCAAGTCAATATCTCTCCTAGTCCCTGTTCTTTTCCAACTTCATACTCCGTTTATTTGCAAAGTTTTCCGAATAGCTTCTATTTCTAATGAAACTTTTTCGCGAATGGTATTTCATCATAATACGTATTTGGCCAAATCCCGAAGACTTTCCATATTGTCTTGTTGACTTTTCCAATCACGACCTGTTTTATACATATTCAATTTCTTTCTGTGATGTAAGTAATGAAATTTTGCTTTTGATTGTCTTTTTTATCGTACACAGTCTTTGTTAGGTCCTATGGGTTTTGATTGTTTCATTGAAATTACTTATTATAAAAAACCTAAAGCCTAATTCGATAGGTTGTAGTTTCCAAGCTACAAAGCTATAGCCAACTCGTTAATAATAATAAAGACCTCTGTCGGCGCTGAGCCGTTGGTGTAAAATATATCGCAAAAGGACGGCAGGAAGAGCTATAAAGTTTGATTTGCGTATAACAGAGATAAAAGGGACGATAAAATCATGGAACCAAATTGAACAGCTACAAAAATTTAAAAATTGAAATCTGGATTTTCACCCAATAAAATTATCAAAACTGAAAGTTTGATTGTTTATTACCTATACATCCTCTAGGCCCATCACTGAAAGGGAAAAAGATCGATTTATCCATCGATTCCTTCGACATCATCCGCTCTGGCATGAACTTTTCAGGATTTTCAAAATATCTCGCGTCCTTGGAAAAATACGCCATTGGAGTTAGCACAACATCTCCAGGGTTAAGTTTTACTGTAATCGTTTTAAAATCTGGATTGGTTGGAGTATATTCGAACGGTTCGGTACATTCTTTTACAGTAAAGTCTGCGGCTGGTCTATACCTTAACGATTCTAAAAAACAAAAATTTTATCTAATGAGCATTAAAAAAACTGTATTTTACCATAAAGACAAGCATTTAACCAAGGCATTTCGTGAACAGCTTCATACGTTAGTTCTCCATCATTTTCTTTTTCATATTTCCTAATATCATTTCTGATTTTTTCTTGATATTCCGGATTTTGTGCAAGACTGAGAAGCAAAAAGGTTAGAACTGCAGATGAAGTTTCGTAGCCGTCAATAAATAAAGTAGCAGCGTGACTAGTGATTTCAATATCAGCTAAATTGCGGTCTTTTGCCAGCTCCATAAGGAACTGAAGATAATCATTGGCTTGGATGTTGTTTTTTCTTCGATAACTGACAACGTCGCTTACTATTTCAATTAGTTGTTGTTCTACCTCTGGTCGCACGAATCTACAAAAGTATATAATTTACTTCAAATAGATTAAAGTTTGAGAATTCTTACTTGACAAAGCGGCATCTGAGTATAGCTGGAAACACTGTCGCCAAGTAGAATATATAAGAAGTCCAAGTTCCCGGAGTTAAAAATTCATCGGCTAGTTTGTTGAACTCGGATATGTCGTCGTATCTTTCGAAAGCTTTACCGTCAATTCCAAAAGCTGCTTTGGCAACATTGTCCAAAGTCAATCTTTTGGTTAGGGCCCTGGTTTCAATACCATCTGTAGTAGCAGTAGGATGGTTTTCGATATATTTAACCATATTTTTGCTGATTTCTCTCAAAATTGGATACATGTTCTTCATCTAAATAAAAAAACCAAATCAAAAATACATTTTTCTTCAAAACAAGGCTAACTTTTCCACTAGTCATTCCAGGTGTAAGCATCGTCCTAGTCTCTTTCCATTCCTGGCCTCTTAAAATAAACGGGTTTCTTCCGAATATAGGGTCAGTTTCTTTATTGATCACGAATTCGTTTTGAGCGAATGATTTGAAATCTTTTACTAATACACGATGGAGCATATCAGGATCTCTTATTAGGAGAACTGGTTTGGTTGCTCTGAATAGGCCTGCAAATGGATAGCCTTCGAATTTTCTGAAAATAAATAATTATTGTTTGTTACTTGGAGTAAAACAAGATTACGATTTAGTGATTATTATAAGAAAATCCTAAAAGTTGACTCAGAAGTTTATATTGAATGATATAAAGGTCAACACTGTCCCTATTCATTATTAGACATTTTGCGGCCTCGGGCAGAAGGAAATTACCACTCCTTTTGAATCAAGTTTGGAAAATGGAAAAACAAAATAAGTCCTTTATTAATATTTTAAAATTAAAATTGCCATAGGGACCAACATGAAATAGGCCCCCCTGGCGTGTCCCCGTTTTGGTGTAATGGGGGGGCTTAAGGGAGCCCACCACTGTTGATGCCCACTGATCAAGGACATGTGCCTTGGTCACTGGGGGTTCTATAGACAAGGGGGATCCTAACTAAGAGGGACACGGGGCCAATCCAAGATGGAAGCTATCGTGTCGAGGGATGGGTGGCAGCTGGACCCTTACCAACCAGCTGTCTTAAACGATGCCTCCAGGAAACCGTGCGACATTCTGGAGTATCTAGCCTTACCGCACGCGGGGCTATGTAGTGGCGGACCCTGTACTTCCCTTGCTACTCGTGGAATCTAATACGAGTACCGATCACAATGAAGGTGGAAAATCCGACTCTGGCTCCAGAGGCTGGCGAGACACCTTCAACCATCCCTCCAACATCAGACCAGGAACAGGAATTGTTGCGGTCTGATGACGGAGACAGTCCGGAGGCAGTAAGCATCGAAACAAAAAAGTTAAAGACTGAGGAGTCGTCTTATCAAGAGCGGGATCTCTCACGAAGCCCTACCCAGGGATCGGATTAAACGACTTGGAAGGGAAGACTGGTTGATGGTCAACAAAATAATTACAGCGGCGGCTATAAAAGGGGTGGCCCTATCATTCCAACCTCTTAAATCGCCTGGGGAAGACGGCATTTCCCCTGCTCTGCTACAGCACGGACTTGGGATCCTGCTTCCATTCCTAATAAGACTCTTCAGAGCCAGTCTGGTGTGGAACCATATTCCACCAAGCTGATTTATATCCCTTAAGCGGGGCGCAAAAGAACCACACCCCAATCATTCAGACCAATAAGTCTGACATCGTTCCTCCTGAAAACTGAAAAGGTGCTGGATGAGTGGATTAAGGGAAAGGCACTCAGGGCTAACCCTCTTAGTACCCATCAATACGCATATCAGGCAGGAAAGTCCACAGAGTTGACTCTTAGCAACCTGGTCGCTAGTATAGGCGACTCTCTGGAACGTAAGAGCATTGCACTTACCGCTTTTTTGGACATAGAGGGAGCTTTCAACAATGCGATGTCAAGCTCCCTTTACGAGGCAACAAAATCTAGAGGCATCGACCCGCTAATTTGTAACTGGATTAGGACCATGCTGAACGGTAAAGTGATAACGACTTCTCTACAAGGGGGAACGGTCAGGTTCAGGCCCGTCAGGGGCTGTCCGCAGGGACGGGTACTCTCTCCGCTTCTGTGGTCACTTCTAGTGGATGACCTTCTGGTCTTGACACAACTGTGGGGGGTCGAAGTTCAAGCATATGCGGACGATCTAGTTATAATAGCCAAGTTCTGAGACGAGGATCTCAGCTGCACTCGAAGAGGTGCTAGATTGCGTGCTTGATTGGTGCGAGAGAGAGGAAATGACAATCAATCCTCACAAAATTGTCATGGTACCCTTCACTAGGAGGAGAAAACTTGATAACTACTTGGGGAGAATTAGTACCTACCATTCTCAAATGAAGCAAATAGTATTCGGGAGTCATCCTGGACACGACTCTAAACTGGAACGCTCATTTGGAAAAAGTAAGCCAAAAGGCAAAATTGTCGCTTTGAAACTGCTACAGGATCTGCGGAAAGACCTGGGGAACAATTCCAAAACAGATTTACTGGATCTACACCATGGTTATCAGACCAATGATAACCTATGGCTCTGTAGTAAGGTGGGGCAAGGCAAATCAGAAAAGGGCCCCAGCCACACTTAGCGGACTGCAGAGAAAAGCTTGCCTGGCGATAACGGGAGCGTTGCGCACCACACCTACAGCAGCTATGCAAGTCCTCATAAACCTGACTCCACTCCAGATATACGTGAAGAGGAAAGCAATGAGGTCAACCTATCGACTGTACCATGCTTCAAAAAGCAATTTGGACGGGAGAAGCGCAATGCAACACACGGGGCTTGTGGATGAAATAAATCGACACGGCACCCTCAACATGCCTTCTGACATATTGCCTTTGGTTTGCCCTCAAAACAATGATTCCCGACAGAGAGCTATAGGCCAGCGACAGGAGCGAGCTACTGAGGGCAGATCTCTGCCTGTAGACAGATGGCTCCAAAACTAAACATGATGTCGGAGCAGGGGTATATGGTGAAAAACCAAGGCTGGGAATTTCGGTCAGCCTTGACAAAAACGCATCCATATTTCAGGCCGAATTGCCGTCCATCGAGCTTGGCGTGAAAAAGCTGCTGGATAAGCAACAAACGCACAAGTCGATAAAAATATTTTCTGATAGCCAAGCTGCGCTTAAAGCACTGGCATCCATACATTGCACGTCGAAAACAGTATGGAACTGCAAACAAGCCCTGACCCAGCTAGGGGAAAAGAACAACGTTTCACTAGTCTGGATACCGGGACATACCGGACAAGAAGGCAACGAAAAAGTAAACCAACTTGCAAAAGCTGGATCGGAGCTTAACTTCATTGGACCGGAGCCAGTACTGGGAATAGCCCTGAATACGGCTTACTTCACAATCTCGACCTGGGCCAATACAGAGGCCAAACAATATTGGTCGAAACTACCAGGCATGAACCATGCAAAATCCTTTGTACCCTGTCCAAAAGGGACATACTTGTGGGAATGGGAAGGAAGAGCCTCAAAGCACTGGTAGGTCTATACACTGCACACTGCAGACTCCGTTATCACATGCACAGGATCGGAATAGCACAAAGTGCCGAGTGGCGAGTGTCGCTTATGCATGGAAGAGGACGAAACTGCAGAATACTTCCGGCGATAGGCAGAATCAGGCATGCTTTTTTCGGGGAGTCAGCTGTTCGACTCAAATACATAAAGCATGCTTCCCCCATACTTATCTCCACCTTCATAAGAAGGGCTGGACTGATGGGGAAAATATAAACTCGGAGTGGGCCACAATAGACCGTAGGTCGCAGTGAAAGGTCCGACATCGGACCGCTCACAAGAAACCTAAACCTAAAACCTAACATGAAATAATATTTATTTTTGATATTACCAACATTTAAGCATTCTACCAATGCAGATATTTAATTTGACCCAAAACTTGTGAATTTTAGCAAATTATATATAGTTTATTGAGAAAGTCGGAAAAATGCTGATTGCGATCTTTCCTACTTACCTTCATTTTTATTTCTCTGATAAACTAATTAATAGCATCGGAATAATTGGTGATTCTACTTTCAAAGTCTCTCTCAAAGATTCCAGAGGATATAGTGGAACAATGGATATTCTAGAGGTACGCTAATTGGGTAATTCACGTGCCAAGCTCCTATTGTACGCGGGAACAATACAAGATATTTTTATTATTGATGCATTGAAATGAAATGTACATATGTAATAATGCAGCTAAATAAGGATTGTATTCATGGATAAATATGACAATTTTTGTATTCATTCAAGAGAAGTGGGCTCTCAGGACACGTGTATGATATAAAAGCAAAACACTTAACTTATTGTGAAAGAATATTTATGTTGATAAATTGGAAAGCATTCCGCTTCCACAAAGAAAGATGATCATACACTGGAAAAAAGCATGAATTTAAACGTATCACCGGGAAAGTTGAAAGTTCTGGATTGGACAAAATTCATAAACTGAATTTAGGAAATCGACAACTGATTTAAACATATATGAAGATTTAATATAATATTGTTATGTCAAACAGAATACCTTTTAGACAAAACATGAAACTCCTATAGAAATTGAAAAAATTCCAGATTCTATCGATTTTTTTTATGATGAGCATGTGCAAGATGCAACAATTTATCAGTCACGCCTACTAAATTATACTAATTTCCGATGACTGGACTTTAGACTGACCTTCCTTCTACCACTTGTCAACATTCATAGATTTGTGATATAGTCTAAACAAATTTTAAAAGTAGTGATGCAATTTAATGATTTTTATTAAACCCATATGAATTTTCTGAGAAATGCATTGGAAATTCTTATAAATATATAATAAAGACAATTTTTTTTCCACTTATTATAGGATAACATCCTCAATACCTACGTATCTTTGTCTCTACTTGCAATGTATACCTATCTAATTAACAGCCTAACCTTGGCATGGTGTATGAACAAATTCTGAAACCAAGCTACTTTTGTGGGTTATAATTACTGGAAATATTTGCATTAAAATTTGTATTCGATTACTGTTTAGTTTACATGGTCAACAACAAGTACCTTCCCATTGAGTCATGTAATATTTTTGTTTTGTTATTGGTTATAATTGTAGCAAAAACAGATACTTAAATTGTTTAAAAATAGCCTCTGTTGTCAGTTTAACGAATGCATTATTTTAGGCAGACATTTTTGGGTAATAATATTAAACTAATTCAAAACTTTGAAGTCAGTTAGCATCTCCAACTTTTTCATAATTTTATATGAGACCTGGCATCTCGGAAATGTCTTGAAAGTTTGTTCATTATGCAATTAGTGGCGCTTTTTAACTTTAATTATAACTCTCAGAACCTGTTGCTTATAGAATTTCAAAGTGACTTTTTGTGTTTCTTGTCCAACAAAAGATGTGATAACAATTATTTTTGCATTGTTGAGTTTCAATTTAGGTAAAGGAGTTGCCATGCATAATATTGAAATTGATATTTTTGGTAGGTATGTAATTGGAAAAAAAAGGAATTTTCTGAAAAGCTCACCAACTGACTTTACAATGAAAGCTCTGAAGTAACATGATTTGAGTGATTTTGCCTGCAATTTTTCTACAATTTTGATGACATTGAAAATAAGTTCCACATTGAAAATAAGTTCCGCATTGGAGCACACTCAAGAATTCTGCCAAACTTATTCAAAATGTAGTTTGACGAAAAACTTTGCTGTATTTTTATAAACAATTAGACGCTTCTTTCAGATTCAATTATAACTATAGGTATACCTGTAAATTTCTCCAATCGCCTCGCCCATAGTCATTTTTCCAATCAAATGCGATCCGATGTTTCCGATAATGGGCCATGGTTTCGGTCCAGGAACGCCTTTCCTTTCCCAGTAACCCAAATTGTACCTAATCAAAAAAATTAGCAGTAGCAAAACAACCGCTGCGAATATTAAAAACATTGTCGCGTGTTCAGTTTAGCAACAACAACTGAGATACTGCGTTTCCTTTTAACCTTTGTATAATGCACATGGGTCTGAGCAATTTAAATAAATAGATTGTTATTGATGCAGGTCTAACAGTGATAATATTGTCTGGCATGAATAATAATTATTTTTTGACATTCAGACATGAGGTTAAAAAGTTACTTACGCAAATGTTTGATAAATCTTTTTTTCAGCACAACTGTAATATTATTAGGTGGCGTTACTTATGGAAATTTGAGAACATTCTTTTACCACACTATACTTCCACTTCTTGGAAAAAAACATCATAGGTGTGCTTGGTATGCTCGTTAGGGTTGCACCTATTGCATAATCTAGATGTCTCTAAAAGTGAAACAAACTTATAGTCAATACCGGAGGACTTGCACAGTTTGAACGCGTAAAGTGTCTTTTTTTTTTCGAGGAAATAATTCTGATTAGATTCGTCTTAATTCCCAGATAATACACTCTGTGCTAGTTGTTTTATAAGGGATACATTGTAGTAACCAAAAAATCACATATACCTATTTAAGAATTTCATAAATTGCGCCAACTAACACTCAGTGCACCAACATCTTGAGCACAGAAAACCACATATGCTGGTCTTAACGTAAAGACACAAGTGGTCTTCTGTCAACCCAATCTATCTCTTATATGTTCCGGCTTTGAACTTCATACGCCTCTTACCACAGAAAGGATGATCTCTAATCAACCGATCACGATGTTATTTGGCTGAAAATTGCTTCTACGGACATAGTTAAGTTCGTTTGCTGCGTGTATCTTCCAACTAACGACTCCAGCTATGAATTTCGATTTGATAATCTGGTAAATTAATTGGATTCTATCCAGGAAACCCATCCGAACTCCCAGATTATACTTTTGAAGGATTTTAAGGTGCATAACTCAGAGTGGTTTGAGTTCTCCAACAAAACAACGCAGGATTGCTGTAGCATTTGCCATTTCACATATGGCGTCTTCCCGATGCCATTTTTCAACAGACCAACTTACTCGATTTGTTCCTTACCACTTATTCAGATCCCTACAAGACAGACTGATGTTTTTGCACCTTTGGGCAAATCAGACCATAAATTGATTTCCGCTCGAAGTTTATTTGGAATATAACTTCTGCTCCATCACCTCGTAGGGTGTCGCATTATGGAGTTTTAAATCCAAAGATCCTTCTAAGGTTGCACGAAAGATATGGAATTGTACATTCTACACTCCAATAAAACATTCCGTGCAGTCCTAGTGTGCAAAAAAGAACACCAATGCGAAAAAAACTCGATCGTCCTTCACCGCTGCGAAAAGTGATTGCAACCGTATAACCAACTAGGCTAAAAAGTTACCTACACAACTAACAAGTGCATAATCGACTTTTGGACTGCTAGAGCGGACAAGATCCTTTTGGTCGTTTGCCAAGACCATAGGAAAAAAATTTACATGATTTTCTTTTACACCCTTAGTTGAAGATATATAATTCCATTGTCAAAGAAAAAGCAGACCTCTTTGCCAAACAATTTCTACCAATTCCCCGATGGAGGACAATGACAGAGCTGCCACACATTGGTTCTTACATGGACAATGTTGAAGTTAGACCTAAAACTATTAGGAAAATTCTTCTGCAACTTGACACTGGAAAATCTTGTGCTCCCGACGGTATTCCACCAATTGTCCCAAAAAATTTCGGACAAGAATTGACTTCAGTTCTTTGCAAACTGTTTTCACTCTCTGCCTGTTGAGGCGTTTTCCTGTCTATCTGGAAATGTGCCAGAGTGCAGATTGATTGAATAGGTACCTCGAAGCCAATAAGCTCATCTCCAACAAACAATACGGGTTCCGTTCTAAAAGATCAACAGAAGATCTGCTGGCGTACCTGCGTCAGTACATATTTGGAACTCCATTCTCGAAAAACATGGTGAATCAAAAACTGTAGCATTGGACATCTCCAATGTTTTTGATCAGGTGTGGCCCAAAAGTTTCCTCAGCAAACCTCCATCGTATGGTCTTCCAAATAAATTTTTGGCTGGGAAGTTTTCTGGAAGGCAGGTCACTGCATGTTCTGGTCGATGATGTGTCTCCTGATACACTGTCCACATGCCAAGGCTCAATTTCCAGCCAGTTCTGTAGGAAGGCGATTTAAATGCAAAACGTACCGAATGGAATTGAACTAGATCTAACCAAAGAGGAATCTCAATCCAATGCAATGCCGAACGTCTGAACTACAAAAACTGACGTCCTGATGAACCCACCCGCATAGGATACGGTAAACCTAGCATTTTGACTTTTTTATACACAAGAACGTCAATCCTATCTCCCAGCCGCAAACTCTACATCATTTCTCATCCGACCACCTACCGGTAATGTTTGAATACGGCAACCCAGCTGAACATAAGCCCCAACCAGAAGACCAAGGACATTCACAAACTGGACATCATTCCAAGACCACCTGAAAAGTAAACCCCCGATCGGTTTCATCTACTCTCCACAGGACCTAGATACGGCTGTGAACACACTGACTGGCAACATCTGTGAATCTCTCAACCTGCTCCGAACATCGGTCTACCTGACACCAAACAAATTCGTCGCAGGAACCGACTACAGAGAATCAGGTCAACCGACTAAAGAGAAGGATCCACATTCAAGTCAATGACTGCTACGAGTCCCGGCAAGAGAAACTGGAAGCAGTCCTATCGACCGGTAAGGATCTTTTTCACCATGCTAGAAACCTCTCCAAAGGGCCTCAGAAAAAAATGTTACATCAACACTGAAAACAGCCATAACCGATCAATTTCGGAATAACCCACCACTCTATCCTCTACAGGACCGTAACGTCAACTTCCATAAGACTCATGCTCGACCAATCAGAGGCTCGTCCCACGCTACCACCAAACGTCACCACCCAAAGTGTGAGCAACAAATAGAGAACTTCACCAAGATCATCCGAGCCACTCTCCACCATTTCCCATGAAAATGGAAAGTGCTCTATATGATACTGATAAAGAAACAAGGAGAGTCCAGTAACAACCCCAGTTGGTACCTACCACCCAATCATCCTCCTCTTCGCACTTGACAAAGTGGCAGAACGAATCTTAAGCAGAGATCTACGGGACACTGAAACACACTTTCGCCTACTATCCGACGAGCAAATGGGATTCAGAGTACCACACTCCTCATCCCATCTAGCCACCCGATTAGCTCACACTCTACTAAAAGGCGCGACCCGCAGAATGAAGACAGGAGCAGGCCTCCTCAACATTTCGACAGAATTTGACTAAATGTGGCAACAGGGCCTGATTCTGAAGATGCTCAGATATAATATGCCACACTAATGGTGTTTCCGATTGGTAGATCTAGTGCGGAGCTAGTGCAATTTTTTCTATTTCTGTCTTTTTTTCTACAGGTCAGGTAAAAGGATGCAAATACACTCAGTGTGCACTGAATCTACCAATCGGAAACGCCATAAGTCAAACTAATCGATTCCTTCTTGTCAAACCGGAACTTCTGCGTCACTCTGGACAACTGTACCACAAATCAGTCACGATCCACTGCCACACTAGTACTTGCCGGAGTTCTCCAAGGCTCCTCACTCAGTCCTCTACTTTTCAACCTATTCATGGCGGATATCTCGAAAAGTAGAAAATCCATACTTCAAGACTACGCAGACGAAACCCCTATTACAGCCACAGCACAAAGTAAACCCATAATCCGAGCCAGACACCTCAATAACATTCAAACCTGTATTGACAGGCGGAGGCTAAGAGTAAACCTGAAACAGACTCAAGCCTCATATTCGACATGAACAAGAAAATGTCTCCAAAGGAGAAAATTGTAACGAAGTTACTAAATTTATCCCTATTTCCCGCCACGTAGGTACATAATATTTACACGTTATTTTCGCCGACTTCGTTTACTCTTCCCGCTCTTTTTCTCTTATTTAATTACATTTTGACTGTTCCTTATATCTTATGTTATTGGGCAAATAAAAACTTTAATTTGTTAGTTGGATTGTGTGTTTCATTTTGTGGATGCGCATATTGACCTCTGGTTTCCAATCTCCACTGTAACAATCTACCTGGAGCACGTAGGCCCTTAACCACTATAATCCTAAGGGTGGCGCCCGAGTTTTCCGAAGACCCCTTAACTTTCCAGAAAACCTAAGTAGCGGTACAAACTACGCTGGGAGAGAACACCGATGGTGGACAAAAAAGGTCAAGTACCTTAGAATACTTTTTGACAGGAAACTTAACTGGTCGGAGCACGTCAAATTGTCAAATACACCAGGAACAAAGCCAAATGCCAACTCAAAAGGCCTCCACAGACTGCGTTTTTGTTTGACGGTTTTGTTCGACGAGCAAATCTGTTCGAGCAAAAACGACGGATCGGAGTTGCCCACAGACCTCGGTTTAGTTTGGCGCAGATCATTATGTTTCGTCGTTTTCAGAATTCGTAGCCCACACACTTCAGATTTGTTGACATATCGAACATATCCGACGGACCAAATCAGGCGAAGCCAGATACTTGCAACGGTTTTGTATGCCAGCAAAAACGACAATTATTCGCACACACACTTCGGTTTTGCGAACAGATTTGCTCGTCGAACAAATCCGTCCAACAAAAACGCAGTCTGTGGGGCCCTTAACAACTCTACCCACTCGTAAACCGACAAAGCAAGCTGAACATCCAAACCAAGACAAACACATACAAAATATACATAAGACTGATCATAACTCCAGCCTGGGTCACGACTATCCAAGACCGTCATCTTCAACCGCTACTAAGTCTAGAGAATAGGATCCTGAGAAACCTCCTAGGCGCCCCATGGTTCGTACGAAGCACGACATTACGCCTATCCACAACAGTGTTTCTCATTTTCCTGAATGATTTGTTGAATGTGACAAAAAACCCCATATACAGCTTTGCGGACATTAGTAGCTTGATGGCATCTTTCTCTTCTAACAAACCGCTAACTGCAGCCGCTTCTGCACGCCTCGCCCGAGAACAGAGTCACTCTATTTAAGAGATTTTCACACCATTATCAACTGCGGCCTTGACAACCTTGTCAAATTCAATGCTACAGTATTCTCAAATAAGAATTCTTCCGCCGATGATAACCCAGCTTTAAAGATGTGCGATACTCCCAAGCATGCATTGGCTCTATTAGATGCAGTAGGTACAAAGGAAAGCAATCAAAATGATCGATAAATCCAACTCTCACCGTTTCATTGTAATCTCTCGAACATGGACGCAAGGTGGCCGGCTTGTCGCTATTCTATCGTTATTACCATGGGAGTTGTTATTACGATTTGGCCAGCCTCATTCCAGCCAGGTGAAGTTATAAACGAGACGTTTTATAAAGGATTGTGATGGTCGTTTTCAAGAACACCATTGAAAACATGTAGATATTTTAGAAAAATATTGTCACACGCCTCGCGGCTAATGTGGGTAGGACCTGAGGTTAGGGGTTGCTCTTAAGAAAAATACATAACTACAAAAAGGAGCTTAATATATTGTCTGCTAGTGGGTACATCACCAAAGGGGCACTACGTAGGTGCGCCACATGATTCTCTCGTTCGGGGCTCTACGTACATATACGGGGACGCAACTAGTTCCCACACGTATAGGCGGCGATGCCCTGAAGGGCAAGACTCTCTGGGGTAAGGCGACCCTGAAGAGCTACTGCTGCTTTATGTAAGGAGACCCCGAGGAGAGGACCCAAATGGGTGCCGAAGCTAGGGGTTGCATTGGTTTTTATATCCATTTCATTTAAACATTAGTTTACGCGTTGACCTGCTTAAACTGCTGATTGTTGATAAACCGTGTTCTAGTTTTAATTGATGGGTTTTTGATATATAGAATAGTTTTATTTATAGACCAGTCGATATATGCCCTCTTATTCTTGCTGCGAAGCCTTCTTTCTATATCCTATACAAAGTTTTTTTTTCGCGTACCTACTCTATTCAGTTCAGGTAACGACGTATCATCGGCTGAGATATGGCTATGTCCATGTCCTTGACACATCGGTGAATGTCACTTTTATGAACAACTATCAGTACATTCAAACATCATTCCTGATACAATGGCGACAGTCCATAATTTCGTTTGGGCACTGTGCTCTCGTTTACGTACTTCGATGCTAAATAGGGAGATTCAGCATCACAGGTTCTTCGAACGGCACCTCCACCATATGTCACACGCCTCTCGGCTAATATGCTCTTCAGGAAAATACAAAACTACAAAAAGGAGCTTAACGTATATTGTTTGCTAGTGGGCACGTCACCAAAGAAGCACTACGTAGGTGCGCCACATGATTTTCACATTTGGGGCTCTACGTACATATACGGGGATGTAACTGGTTTCCGCATGTATAGTCGGCGATGCCCTGAAGGGCAAGACTCTCTGGGGTAAGGCGGCCCTGAAGAGGATTGTTCCAAGACTCTCTGAAAAGAAATGTAGCTACTACTCCTTTGGGTGAGGAGACCCTGAGGAGCGAAGGTCCCAAATGTGTGCCGATACCATGGGTTGCAACGGTTTCTATATCCATTTCGTGTAAACTTAATGTTTAGTTGACCTGCTCAAACAGCTGATTATTGATAAACCGTCTTCTAGTTTTAATTGATGGGTTTTTGATATACACAGTGGTTTTATTTATAGACCAACATCCGACTTAAGACGTTTTTAATACGTCCATTTTCGACGTTCATACAACGTTTGCAATTGTGAAATTTGTACTAGAAGAAAAACATCTATTACCATATGCAGCCAAAAATTCTACATAGTGATTTAGGCCCCGAATTTTCAAAATTATGTTCCCTCGAGAAAAAACTTATTATAATTATAGGTAAAATTGGTAAATAATTCATTTCTTATAGAGATCAAGTATGGTACTTGAGGAAAAATAAGAAAAATTTAGATTATGCTGATAAAATAAGATGTTAATGGATCCACTGATTAATAAACTGCTCAATGAATTGAGTGAGTTCAACTCAAAAATTCATTCATTTTCAAATCAGAATCTTACTTGAACGAGTCATTAATGAGTTAATTGCTACCACAAGAATCTCACAGGCATCCCATTCGTATGTGGTAAAGTTGGCTACCCCAGGGACATCTAAATATAAGGTTTCTGGCTTCTTTTTGGTGGCGTACTCTCCACCTTTGGAATTCCCTTCCTCCTTCATAATTTCCTGAATAACTTAGTCTTAACGTGTTCAACAGTTCTACCGCTTAGTTAGTACATAATTTGTCATTTGTGAGCGGATCAATATAGAAAAAAATGTTCCATCTACGCAATGTTGGGATTAAATTTATTTGTTTCATTTTATATTATTATATTTCTCACATCGTAACTTTTGTTGTTTAACTGCAAATTTTTTTATATTTTATCCAAGTTCCTCCTTTAATTTCGTTCATGAAATGGTAGGGTAGGTAGGTGATGGGCTCCTGCAATTTGGGACTGACGGACAATTCGAAGTTTTTCAAAATGAAAGCAGCTGCCAGTTTTATCATCATTCTTCCTAGTCGCTGACCTGAAATAAACAAAAAAAAAATATTTCCACTAAAATATTACAACATTAATAAGAAGCAAAACAAAAAAAACATTCACACATTTATAATTCCTTTAACAAATTGTTCACGCGCAGCTAAAACGCCAGACATTTGCTTTATGCTATTCCCGAGTGCAATTCCGAATGCTATTTTTCTTTTGAAATATCAATCTTGTCGCATCCGGTGCGGCGCCTTCACTAAGTAAATTAAAGATAAATTTGATACAGGGAATTTCAAAAAAAACGAATAAGTTTTTATTTATTTTGTAGCAGAAAATTGAAATAAAATGTAGCGAGTTCGTGTTGTTAGTACATGACCAATATGGAAATATAGTATCGAGCGCTGCAGCAACTAGTGTACCTAGATTGTCAAAGAAAACGTTATTGTCAAAAATCTCATATTGAAGAAAAGCAGATTCACTTGAGTAAGTTCTTTATTACCTATACATCCTCTAGGACCATCACCAAAAGGAAAAAATATCGATTTATCCATCGATTCCTTCGACAACATCCGTTCCGGCATAAACTTGTCAGGATTTTCGAAATATTTCTTGTCCTTAGAAAAATACGCAATTGGGGTTAGCACAATATCTCCAGGGCTAAGTTTCACTGTAATTTCCTTGAAACCTGGATTAGTTGGAGTGTATTCGAACGGTTCGGTACATTCTTTGGTAAGAAAGTCTACTACTGGTCTGAGCCTTAAAGATTCTTCAAAAAAAAATTAATTATCTAGTGAAATCAAAAAAGTTAATATTTTTATACCATAAAGACAAGCATTTAACCAAGGCATTTCATGAACATCTTCATACGTTAGCTCTCCATTATGCTCTTGTTCATATTTCCTAATATCATTCCTGATTTTTTCTTGATATTCTGGATTCTGTGCAAGACTCAGAAGCAAATGGGTTAGTACCAATGATGAGGTTTCGTAGCCGTCGATAAATAACGTAGAAGCGTGACTGGTGATTTCAATATTAGCTAAATTTCGTTCCTTTGCCAGCTCCATTATGAACTGAAGATAATCATTCGCTTGAATATTGTTTTTTTCGCGATATCTGACAACATCGGTAACTATTTCGGCTAATTTCTGCTCAACCTCTGCTCTCACGAATCTACAAAATTATAAACTAATAGAAGTAGTTTATGTTACAAAAATACCCACTTGAAAAGTCTATATTTGAGTAAAACAGGAAAGATTTGCCCCAAAAACAGCATAAACGAGGACCAAGTTCCTGGAGTGAAAAACTGATCGGCCAGTTTGTTAAATTCCGATATGTCGTCGTATTTTTCAAAAGCTTTACCATCGATTCCGAAAGCTGCTTTTGCGACATTGTCCAAGGTCAATCTTTTGGTTAGAGCCCTGGTTTCAATTCCTTCTGTAGTAGCTGTAGGATGGTTTTCGATGAATTTAACCATGTTTTTGCTGATGTCTTTTAAAATTGGATAAATATTTTTCATCTATTGAAAAAAAAAACTTTCAATTCATTCGTTGCATATTAAGGCAAATTTGTCTTACTTTTCCACTAGTCATACCAGGCGTAAGCATCGACCGAGTATCTTTCCATTCTTGGCCTCTCAAAATAAACGGATTTCGTCCAAATATTGGGTCGGTATTTTTATCCAGTACCATTTCATTGTTAGAAAATGATTTGAAATCTTTCACCAATACACGATGAACCAAGTCAGGATCTCTCAATAGGAGAACTGGTTTGGTTGCTCTGAACAGGCCTGCAAATGGGTAGCCTTCATATTTTCTAAAAAATTTGAAGTATGGTTAAGAAGGAACATCAAATGTCATGTCTCTTGACTCTAATACAGTATACAGTTACAAATTATTGTCAAATTACCTGTAAATTTCTCCAATCGCCTCCCCCATCGTCATTTTCCCGATTAAATTCGATCCGATGTTTCCGATAATAGGCCATGGTTTTGGTCCAGGAACACCTTTTCTTTTCCAGTAACCCAAATTGTACCTAATCAAAAAAATTATCAGTACCAAAATAACTGTTACGAATATTAAAAACATTGTCGCTTGTTTAACTCATCAACAACAACTGAGCTTCCTTTTTGCAATAACAACTTATTGGCCCAGGCAATTTAAATTAAACAGATTTTTTTATTGATGGAGCTCTAAATTATGTGATAATAATGCATGAGAATTGATGCTGCAAAAATAAATAATTATTTTTAGAATGAGATTAACTTTTGAGTAAGTGCATTATTTTTAGTGAATGATTTTTCATAGCAAAGCATAATACTAAAAAATTAATACCACAGTAGGGGAACGGCGTTAGTTATCGAAATTCGAAAAAGTTTTCCCGGCACACATCTGCTACCTGTACTTCTCAACTTTTGCGTTAACTTTTCTACTAACGCGGCACCTGTAGAACTTCAAACTTCTTAAAAAGGACATCGAAAAGTTTTATTAAAGAAACTGGTTTTAACTTGCAAATAGGGGCTGATCCTGGGAGGGAGACATACGAAATAATGTTACGCAAACACTCCATCCACCCTCCTATATTTATTTTTAAGCTCGAAATGAAAAGTTTCGCGAGAAGTACGAAGTTGTTATTCTGAAACTTTATATATTTCTGAATTTATTTTAATATTGATTAGATATTTAGGATGTTTTTTAAAAGGGAGTTTAGAGCTTAAGTGTAACACGAGGGGCCCCTTATAAAACCAACTTTAGTGTAGTTATTCCTGCTGTGGTTTTGATAGAAGCCTTTTCATAAAGACACCAGAACTGATCTTAAGCGGATAAAACTGGGTAAGCGAAGAGAAAAGTTACTTTCATCAGTGTCATCAAGGCTGAACTTCGGGGCTGCACAGGGCTTAACTACATTCATACAAATGGTTCAGAAATGTATTTTTATTTGAATTTATCGCAATGTGAAGACGATATACCTATTTGGTGTTAAAATTAGGTAAATTTAGCACAGAAAACATGATCTTGAAATTTTCATTTTAAACTTTTCGACTTCTCACATATGTATAGGTAGAATTTTCTAATGTAAGATATTTTCGTTTCTGAGTTCCTTCTAATGTAGTGGTTGATAAGCTGGAAATTTTCGGGTACACGTAATTTGGTTCCCAAGATAATAATGAGGGTTAGAAAAAAATATGTAACTTGGTTCCCGCAACTTTTCATTTACCTGATTTGTATGTCTAAATTGTTTCCCACTACCTGAAGTACTTATAAGGTAGCAATAAAACAGACTAAGCAGTATTTACAATATTTATTTATTATGACCCATTTTATCCAATGAATCCTAAGAATTGGTAATTCTGGCAATTATGGTAATTGATCATATAAATGAAACTCTATACAAGGACAAGCCTCAATTCCAACAGAAGGTGGAGTACGGTAGCCATCCATTTTCTGTCTTTTGACGAGGGAAGTTGCAGATTCAAGCCTTGAATCAAGGTAGATAGAGCCTAGAAGTTCTCAGTTAACGTCAAATATGGAGGTTCAGGAGTCAATACGTGGACTTGATTCCTCTAGGAAACGAAAACGGAGATTTTTAGAAATGTGGGCTTGTTGGAAACAAATTCGTCGGAAGAAACGGTAATCACAAGACTTTCGATATTATATTTTTTGGTAGTTAACAGAACATTGCCTTACGCAACTTTATTTCGTCAAAATAGTGTCTGATTGCCGATAAGGTACTTTTTTCCACGAGAACGGTAATCGATATTTCACTTAGGAAGATGGCTGCCCCCAGGCCAGGCTCAACCTTCTAAGTCGAAAGTCAAAATTTGAAAGGGCCGAAGAATCGGACAAGCTGAATAAGCAGAACTTCCCCCCTTCAGGATTCATGATATAAAATATTATTGGCAATTGACGAACTTCAAACACAAGCGGTTACAACACATAAACTAACTACAACAAGATTACTAGCGTATTATCTAAACCGCACACCCCACCCCAGGTACCTAATCAATATGCATTATTAGCTGAAAATCAATATTGCAACTCTTTTTAGGGGTCTGCGTACCGAATTACATATTGATAACTAAAAGGGGCTAGCACCTTTTTATTTACTACCTGCCAGGAACCAAATAACCAACACCCAAATTTTTTCATATATGCTTTTAAATTGAAGTGCTCATAGTCCTTATTTACTAGTATTTCCCATTTGATGAACTGTTCAATTATAGCCTATTTAACTCCCTTGAATTGCAACTAATATTGAAAACCTTCAAAAAGCCTCAAACATTATACCTATTATAGATAAATTGATAAAGTTTTTAATAAGCTTTCAGTGGAAACCGGTATCATTAGTTAAAATGTGCTGGTCATATTTTACAATCGAGAGCATCCTATTGTATCGGTAGTCGATGTAATTAATTTCAGTCCTCTTGTTCGCTGATAAAATATATAAGAAAAGGGGTGAAGTATCTCGGGCAACATAAAACCCCAATTGTATCGATTCCAGGACCAGAAACAAAGTGCTTTTAGAGCAGCAACGCAATTTAACCGTACATCCCGCTACAATACCTTTTCCAACAGCTCTGGGGCCTTTTGTATTCCAGGCCAGAGTTTTTCGTCGTCTCTTTCTCCATTTACACTCTTTTTCAATGGAAACTTTTTGTAAGATTTATTTTGCCGAATTTAGGAGAGGAAACTTCCATTTTTAAAGAGAGGGGTGATAGCCGAATATTTTTTTATTGATTGGCTCTCGATTCTTTATTTCCATGGAAACTGAAAAATTGGGCCTTATTCGTCAGTGATCGGTAATGAAAATTAAATATTGTTTTCAGCCTATTCCAAAACTCGGAGGTCAAACTTTTGATTTATTAATCTATTATTGATAGGTGGTCGGTTGGTTGGTGGGTTGGTTTAAGGCGGGGTCCAGCGTGCTCGTGTCCCGATATGCACTGCAGCCTTAAGGCCTATTGTGCTACCCCCTCTATTGCTTAGGAAAGTTCTGTTCCTTCGATGAGATCTAGCAGCTTGCTGGCAAGTTTCTCATGCGTTGTTATCCTCCGAATAAATTGTGTCTTCTCCGAGCCAGAGCTACTCAGTCGTATATTATGTGTATGGCGGTTTACTCCTCTTGACCACACAGTCTACATGTCGTTGGGCCATTGTAGACTCTCATTTTTTGCATGTGCGCTTAGATATGGCAGTGTTCTGTTAGTATAGCTTAGTGACTACTTCAGCTGTTAGCATCTTTGAGGGATTTCCAGCTATCCCTTTCGAGTGTCTTGGTCCAGGTGTGGATCGCCAAAAGTCGAGGTGTTGATGGGTCGACCACCTCTCAACTGCTGTTTTTATAACTTGCTTGGATCTCCCTAATGCGGGTTCTGACCTTGTGTAGAGCAGCTGCGCACGCTCTGGCCTTTCCGTCGCCTTCTATCCCTGAATGCCTAGGAACCCACAGGAGCTTTATCCTGTTATGCCTTGATAACAGAACTTCCAGGTCGTGTAGGCATTCCATCGTTATCTTCGAAGTGAATCGATGTGATAGCTTTCAGAGCAGCCTGACACTCTGAGAGAAACATTATGTTCAGGGCTGAGATTCTGTAATGAATAGAGATATTTTCGCTATCTCTATTGACGTCCACTGTCTATTGATTCCGAAAGGAGAGAAGAGGACAGCAAATGCAATAGCGATATCGATAACAATCTCTATCCGTTACAGAATTCCGCTATTATAACACCAGCACCAACTCCATCTACTGTTTTGGATCCGTCTATATATCATCAGACCTAGACATAACATGCTTGGTTCGCATATGAATTTAAATGTTTTTCATACGTACCATAAGGTTTGCTTTATTCGCTTGACTGCATTCCAATGGGCTGAGTTTGGATAATATAGGAATCTGCAGGCCTCCCACCGCATGGGAAATATCTGGCCTTATAACAGTGGCTAGAAACATCAGAGAGCCCACTGCTTGCCTGTATGGAACTTCACCATCTACCAGCTTGGAGTCCCTTTTTATTTCAATACCAACGAAATAATTTGTTTCTTGTGCAATTTTCACCTCAAAACAATTATTTAATTCATCTGAAACTGTATCAATCGCTGATGTTTGAGATGAGAATATCAAACCATCATCTACGTATATCACAGAAGCAGAATTTTTATATCTTTGACGTGCCCTATGTGTTGTTCTTAAACAAAGCATCATACTCTTGATAAATCGCCTGTCTCCATTTGTCACTTTCTTTGTTTTTCATAGTATCATCATAAGTTTCTTGAATGTCAATTTCTACAAAGTTCAAGTGAAAATCATGAAATCTGGCAGGCATGCAAATATTTCTCTGTGGTCTAAGATCTGGCATTTCACCGTTCTCTCCAACATGCTCATAATTTCCTTCTTGCTCGATTCCTTTTACTTTTTGTTCCACCCGATTTCCAAATTCTACTTCCACTTCGCCAAAATCAGTGACGTCATCATTATCCAGTTCTATTTTCACTGTGTTTGGCTTCAAAGCACTTTTATTGAAATAATAATTTCTCTTGTTATGGGATTAGAAAGTTTATAGGCGTCAATTACAAATTCCCCTAGCCGCAGTTTTCAAAAGAATTTGCATAATAAACAATTTAAGGCAGGGATAAACGTTCCGTCTTGTCCATCAACTTGCTTGCGCAAACTTAAATTGATCGGCAAGACTGATTCCTTATTTGACCCCTAACTATTCAGTCTTACATTTTATAATCTGGTGTAGTATAACATACCCGGGTTCGTTCAGCAAGATTGAACGGTGTGAATTTTTATTACCTCTTCTTTTAACAAATCTTCTGAAAAACGAAATGAAAAACAAATAGGAAACTTACTCAATTTTACTTACTGGACATGCGCCCGACAATAGCAAAATTAGGGAAATTTAAAGGAAGTTGTGATATGTAAAATAAACAACAAATTTGTGAAACGTCTAATTTATTATTAGAAAATCGTATCGTTCTCGACCTGGAACTCACGAGGGGAAAGAATACGGCAGAGAAACCCTTGGTCTAAGATTTTTCAAAAATCAAACCATACTGTGGCATTTTAATAATTAATTATAAGTCAATGAAAGTTTAAATTAGGTACCGTTCCTGTTCTTGTGCTAAAATT